CATAAAGCTGAACAATTGATGGACATTGGTATGGACAATGTTGTTAAAATGTAAATAGGAAATACTCAGTGACTGATGAATGTTAATGAACTTTTGTTGATGTGAGGAGACCAAGAGAATGAAATTCAGCATATAATGGTTTCATTTTCTTGTTTTTATTCTTTGTTTACGTTAACTTCCTTGGAATATAAACTCAAGCACAGAGGCCTCCATTTGTAAACAAATCTGTTATTTTTGCATATTTTTGTAACGGTTGCTGTGATATTCAAGCTGGTTTCCTAGGGAAGTTTCTAATACATTTAGTAAAATTGTCTTCTGTATATAGAGTTTTTTAAAGCTATACACGATGCTGGACTCGTTGTTTGTGTGCTCAGGGATAGCAGGAAAGGAAATAGCAAGGCATTAGATATCCATGTGTATAAAAAAGCCAAATATAGTTGCTTTGCGCCATTTCCTAATGTATTGTAATTATTATAACAAGGAGTTTGGTACGTGTATAGAAGTATTTTAATACATGATGATGAAAATAGAACTGTCAGAATACCTCTGAAAGATGTACATATTAAACCATTAGAATGGACGATTGCTGTGGGAATAGGAGAGGGAGGTTTTGGACACAGCTATCACAGACATGAAAGGCTGCTCTGTGGGTGTAGATATTCCTGTAAATGGTCATTATTTTGAAATGTATATGTTGCTCTTTGCTTATTACCAAGTGTTATTGCTGTGTGTGTATATATATATATATATATATGTATGTGTGTGTGTATGTGTATATATATATATATACATATATATATATATTAGGACTGTTGCGCCATGTTACCAAAGCCATCTTACAGGGATGGCTTACCTCCATGCTCACACGTCTACCTTTAGTTTGTAAATTTTTTGTTTTGCCAGTTGCATTATTAAATGGCCTCATTATTAATTTATTTATGATAACATTTTGTTATAAACAATGTTATTAATGCCTAACATGCAATTTTCAACATGTATATACGTCATTGTAAATTTGTTATAAATATGATCAACTTAATGGGATAGAAGCATTTTTGTTTACCAAAGAGATGTTAGATGTAGCCTCTCTGTGTTCCCTGCATCATAAGGCTCCATTTTCATGTTGTCCTCAGTGGTGAGCATAGTGTAATGCTCTCTGTTTCATATCATCATGCTGGAAATTTCATTGGAACTGTAGGTCTGCTTTCATTGGTGGTTTTCAGATATATTTGTATACAAATAGGACAGGGTGGGTTTTTTTTGCATAATTTGGAGAAATCTCTACATGTGGTATAAAACAGCATAGTTTAGAAAAGTTCATTTGCCAGTGGAAATTGACATAATAGTGAATTATTTTTAGAACTTCCTTCTAGTTGTATAGGTGATTTATGTTTGATGTGGGACATTAGCAATGGAATATATTAAACCCAAGTTCATTATATGTGGGCTGACAAAAGAATGTGTTTGTATTATATGTATATAGTATACAGTTACACGTTTTTTAAAGCAATAGGAACTTTTATATTTGCATGTCTTGTTTTTAGATTATTGTATATCTTTTTGCTTTAAACTTTTAGTTCTTTAAATATAATGATTGTTTACATATTCATATGTGTGTATACATATACACATATATACATGTACATATGTGTATATTAGTGTACAGAACTTTTTTAAAGTCATAGGACAAACAATGGAAGATACTGTGACGCTGCTAGCTATATGGTGGACAAATGTTTTGTTTTATAACATCTGCATTGATAGACACACGTGACTTCTGTTTTGGCAATTAAATTGCTATACTATGTCTAGTTGACATGTATTGTTGGGGGGGGTTATTGCCTTTGTGTTGTATTTTTTTTTAGTAGATATTCTTTGTTAAGGTGTAGAAATCATTGTCATTAATGTGTAAATGTGTAATTTTTTTCTACCAACCTAGTTTTTGAATGTTAAGTTCTGGAGCCGAGCAGGGAGGTATCTGACTGCTGTATGTATAATAGACAAGTTTCTTACCACATCTTCACTCGTAGGTTTGTAGAAATATC